GGTGCTGGAGATATATATATATATATATATATATATATATATATATATATATATATTCAGGGTATCTTAGTGGTGGAGCACTTGCCTGATGTTCTTGAGCCCCTGGGCTCAGTCCCCAAAACCACACACACACACACACACGAAGAAAAAGAACCTCAAGTGAATGACCAGCCCACACATTCTAGAATAGACAGAAGCACTGATAAATGGGAACACCCTGAGACTATTATTCAGAGGTGGAGTCAGCACTAGACACAGGTACCTGACAGTGGAATCCTGGGAGTTGAACAAGGAGGACTCTAGGTGCCTAAGGAGTTGTTGTGCTGGGGAGGGGTGGTCTACAAGGAGCCAGTGTCCTACATCACCCACCAGGGGTGTGTTTGGCCGTTATTGATTAGTCCTGACCTGAAATAGAGGCAAAAAGCAGGGAAGCTGTGGTTGGCCGTGTCCATGCATAGAGGTCCTGTGCTGAGGGTGGGGCAGGAAGCAGAAAGCAGAGGCGAGTAGAGTTACAGCTCAGAGACTAGAGGGCTATTTCCTTGGCTAACCTGTAACCTCTGCTTCAAGGCTGACGTCAGTTTGGCTGCTTTCACTCTGCACAGAGGAGCGAGCGGATCTGAGGCAAGGAGGTAGGACCACTGGGTACTCAGCAGTACCAAAGTCTTTCTCTCCAACCCCAAGAATAAGTCATATTTGTCTGTCCTGGATGGATGGAACCTGACAGGAAAGAGGAGATAGTATAGTTTCTGCTCTACCTAGCATTTGCAATCATCTCTTTTCCCTCAAACAGAGTGAAAAATTAATTGTAAAATGGCTTCTAGGGCAATGCACAGCCTGAAAAACCCATTTGTACAATACAGAATAACTTAATAGAGTGTAGCCTGATCTCAACAGTCCCCCATAAGCCCTCCATCCCCCACAGAGCATTAAACACTGCCTTTCGAGGCCCTGGCACCACTCTACCATCTGTCTCAATACAGTTGATGACTCCAGGGCCCTCATAAGTGGAGTCATGCAGTATTTGCCTTCTGTGACTACCTTATTTATTCAGCATTGAGCCCTGTGTTTTTGGTGTGTATATGTAGATCACATCCACTTATCCTTTTATCTGTCAGTAGTCATTTGTGATCAGTGTTGTGAACCGTGGTAATCTGTGACCTTTATACCAGACTTCTCATAGGCAACAACAGAATGTTCTAGGGCCGTGTGAGGTGTGTCCTGCCCAACTCAGAAACTGGGCCTGTGAACTTGTGAGGACTTATAAGAAAGTTTGAGACTTAAAAACAAAAATCTCTTCCTGGTTTCAAGCATGAAAAGAACATAGCAAGTTTGAAGTTCAAAAGTATTCAGGTTGTGGTTCAATTTATAATATATGAAGCCTATTAAGCTATGTGGAATGAATGATTGCTGAGTTTGTGCAGTAGCTGTGGATCTTCTCCTTGGCTGCAGAAATACTAGTGCCCCAAGTACCTGGTGACAAGGGGTATCTGGGACTCTTGACTTGCTATGAAGAAAACAAGAGTGAGTTCTGGTCCTTTCCACCCTTCTACAAGTTCTTCAATTCAGGCACTCAAAGCAGACATGATCTGGGAATTGGGATGAAACCACAGCCAGCAGCCAGCAGTCAGTCCTACTCCTGTGGCTGGCAGACTCAACCACAGGCATTGACTGGGGGATGGGAGAAGAGGGCCAGTGGTCAGCATGGGGAGTGTGGGAATGTCTCACATGACTAACAAGAAGTACAACTGGTTTTGAATTGGAAGAGTAAATAAAAACTACGAGAGCTGGGGCTGGAGAGTTGGCTCAGCAGTTAAGAGCACTATTGCTCTTCCAGAGAACCCAGGTTTAGTTCCCAGCACCCACCTGGTGGCTCACATTCATAATTCCAGTTCCAAGGGATCTCATGCCTTCTCTGCATCTGGCATGCATGTGGTGCACTTACATACATGCAGGCAGGCAAAACAAACACACACATAAAAACAAATAGGTCTTTAAAAACAAAAACATGGAAGCCAAGATATGATGAAGAATTGGCCTTCTGGAGCTGATGGTGAAAGGCTATGGTTGATTCCCCCAGGGTGCCTCAGACTGTGGTCACAGCTTTGCATTTTGTTGTTGTTGTTGATTTGTACGTATGTGTATACATGTGTGTATAGGCATGGGTGTGTGCGCCTGTTGAAGCCAGAGGATAACTTTGTATATGTCTTCTGCTGCTTTGAGATAGAGTCTCTTATTGGTTTAGCACTCATCAGATAGGCTAGTCTGGCTGGCCAGAAGGCTCCAAGGATCCTACCCAGCGTGGTGTTACAAATGCCCATCACTGCAACTTGCTTTATTTTTATTATTTATTTATTTTAAATATGCATATTTAAGTGTTGTGTGAGTGTGTGTGGGGGGGGATTGCATGTTTGAATGTACCACATGTATGCCTGTTGCCTGCAGAGGCCAGAGTTGGCATGGGATCCCCTGGAACTGGAGTTACAAATGGTTGTGAACTACTCTGTGGGTGCTGGGAACTGAACCCATATCTTCTGGAAGAGAGTCATATCTCCAGCACCTCTCTTTCATTACCTTTTATTTAGTTTGTGTGCCTATATGTGGGGGAGCCTGTGGGAATTGGTTCTCTTCTCCCACCATGTGGGTCCTGGGGATCAAACTCGGGTCATCAGGCTTATAGGCAAAAACCTTTACCCACCATCCCTCACCTGCCTTTTTCACCTGAATTCTAGGGATTTAACTGAGATCCTCATGATGGAAATGCATTTTACTGATAGAGCTATCTTCTCAGCCTTGTAGCACTGTTATTTCTTCAATTATTTTATTTTATTTTTGATTGTGTCTATTTGACTGTGTCCCTGTATGTCTTCACATGAGTATAAGTATCCAAGAGACCCAGAAGAGGGTGTTGGATCGCTTGGATCTGGAGTTACAGGTGGTTGTGAACTGCCTGATGTGGGTGCTGAGAACCAAACTTGGGTCCTCTGCAAACACAGCAAGCACTCTTTACTGTTGAGCCATCTCTCCAGACCCACAGTTGTTTTTATACACAGGCTGGACCTGTATATTTTGTTTCACAGGACCAAAAAGTTTCTTGAGGGGAGATACAAAACATTGTAGAATCAGACAGTAGCTACTCCGTGAATCCTAACAAGATGAAGCCAGGAGGTTGTGAAGAAATGGCTCTCTTTTCTTCACACTGCCTGGTGGCAGTCATGTCAGAGCCTCTGCCAGGGCCACCAGCTTGCCTAGAGTGTCCGAAAACTCATAGACAAGGCTGAACCATGCAGAAAGGTTGTTAATCCTGTAGTCAAAGATCATTGTTCCAGAGCTGGGAATAGTGGAGCAAGTCTTTAATCCTAGTACTGGCTGGGAGGCAGAAGCAATCATATCTTTGTGAGTTCAAGGATAGCCTGGTCTACATAGAGTTCTAGGCCAGCCAGGGTTGCACAGTGAAAACCTGTATCAATAAAATAAACAAACAAACAAACTATAAGCCGGGCGGTACTAGCACTCAGGGAGGCAGTAGCAGGAGGATCTCTGTGAGTTTGAGTCTAGCCTGGTCTACAGAGTGAGTTCCAGGACAGGCTCCAAAGCTACAGAGAAACCCTGTCTCGAGAAACCAAAAAAAAATTTTTTTAATTAAATTGAAAAAAAAACAAAACCCTTCCACACATGACTGGAAAGATGGCTCAACAGGCAAAGCACTTGGGGGCACTTGGGAGCATAAACCTAAG